AAATTCAATTATCATTTTATATTCAATTCTATGAATGTATTGTTATTGTCAACGGTATTGACGACAGAATAATTTGAGAGAAATTCCCACAAAAACATATCAAACAAGTAATTGATAGGAAATAAAGTTTTCAAATTTCATTCCAAATGCAAAAGAGGGCAAAAAGAAGTAGAAATATGTTGTCTTAATTCATGCATTGATTTGATATATTAATCACGAGTTTCTTATATATGAGAAGATATAGTAATAAATAATACGATTAGTAAATCATAAGAACCGATACCTTAGGAGAGGTAACCAAACGCCGAGGACTGGGAGTATAGTTAGGGTTTATGGGATACGAGACATATATTTGAGTGGAGGAATAGTTGGGACTATTGTTGTAATCCGACTGTTAATGTGATGAATGGGTTGTAATCATAATAATAGAAATGAGAATCAGTCACCGAAATCATGGCAATTATATATGAAAACAAAACCAAATAATCAATAATAAAAATAACTTTCGTTGAAAACAAATGGGAATTGATTCAAAACCAATCAAAACCAAACAATACCTGATGCTTGCGATCCATTGAGCTGTAGGTGTCGTAAATGCGGGCCTCATTAGGGTATACCCGGTGTCTCTCCTGATGCATGCGTTGGTGTTGTGCCCTTAAATGAGCCATACGTTCATTACGAGACATTATCGCTTCGTTATTGAGCTCGTGATTAGCCAATTGTCCGGCCGTCACACCAGTCGGTGTGCTGTGCATTGGCTGACGATCGGTCGAACCGAAACGTTCGCCAATCGCAGACTTTGACCGCTGCCGAGCGGGTGGTGTGGGTTGTGCTAAATGCGATACATGGGCTGAGTGTGGCTGAAGGTGGTGTTGGAGCTGTTGCTGTTGCTGCTGTTCCATGAGTCTCTTGTAATGCATATGAATGCGTTCCTGTTCTAAGAGATACATTTGCTGTGCGTTTTGAGTGATAGTCGGGTCACGTGTTTGTTGGTGACCGGCGGCGGCGGCCGCTTCCCGTTCGGCCGCCTTTTGCTTCGATTCGGACGAACGGCCTTTCTTTGAGCCGAACTTAAACCAAGTCCTTAATCCGCGTTTCTTTTTACCCGAACTCTTCTTTTTGAGAAATCCTTGCGCTTCGTCTTCAGTGGTTAACTGCGACGAAGTGGCAGTTGTGGCCGTGTATTGAGTGCTGGCCATCGATAGGGCACCGGACGGTCTAACGAGTATGGCTTGTGTGTGATGTATGTGTGGCCGATGCGCCACATTTTCTACCGATGAGCCGCTATCACTGTCGTCCTCCTCAGCCACTAATACAAAATCAAAGCATTAATAAAAATAATGCGAACAATAGAAATGATAAAATTCAATACCCGTTTCCATAGTCTCATGATTTTCATTGTCATTATTTGCGTCATAACTCCTGTCGACAGCGGCTCTAAAACTTTCATTAGTTTCGCGACTTCGAGAGACCCGTATTGTTGAATGTCGTGGTGTTGTGAATGGATTCACATTTTCCAACTGCTCTTTCTGTATGTCTTGCATTAAAGTTTGTAAACTCTCTAAACTACTCGACTTTCGCATCCCTAACGCCGGCCCCACATCTCGCGTATTATT